CCCCCCCCCATACTCAGCGTCTGCTGTGCGCACCACAAATGTATCTGAAGTAACCGATCCAGGCCTGACCTCTGCTCTCAGCACCCAATGAAACGAGCTTTAATGAAAAATAAATCTGGAGTAAAAAAGGAAAGAAACAAACAAATCAGGCACAGGATTTAAAATAAAGTGAGCACGGTGTTGCCAGAGAGCTACTTGCTTTCATTCCTTGGTTGACTGGACTTAAAATGAACTGAGCAGCTGCCAAAAAAAAACTAAATAAAAGTACAAAGATTACAGATAGCAGCACTTACTGTACAATGCCTGAAATGTTGTTTTAATGATTATTCAGGAATAAATGAGCAACAGAGTTAAGTGGTTTCTTCAGAATGTGTCAGCAATCAAAACTAAAGCCACATCTGAAGAATAACTGTGAACCAAATCCATAAATCTGTTTAACTACCGTAATTTCTGGACTACAGAGTGCACCCGAATATAAGCTGCACATACTAAATAAAAAATATTTATATTTTTGTACATATATAGGCCGTGTTTGTGTATATGGGGGAGTGGTGGCGCAGAGGTTAGAAGATGGGCTTGTGATCTTAAAGTTGCAGGTTTACCTGGGCCCCTGAGCAAGGCCCTTAACCCCCATCATCTGCTCCCTAAACAGATCTCTCTTGAAAATGAGTTCTCGGGGCTCAATGAGACTACCTGGATAAATAAAGGGTAAATGAAAATAAGCGATGGGCATTCTCATTGTAATATGAGTTATTTATAATGAAAGATTTTAACTTTAATTAAATATTAGGGATGCACCGATCCACATAGTTTTACTCCCAATCCGATCCCGATACCTAAATCTGGATATCGGCCGATACCGCTCCGATATCATTCTTGATTTTATGAGGCTGTAATAATCTCCTCTCTACAGGCAAGTACAATTTGTACAAATTTATGCATGCATGTCCAAAATGGCAATTTGAGGTAAGTTTTATTAATGTTGGATAAGTTTAGAATTAAACCCTGCTAACATAAAACACGTTCATTTTTTATTCCTAGCTTTAAAGTGGATATTAAAGTGATTAAATGGCTTCAAACATCTGCTAAGTCCATGGCATAAACCAACACAGACATGTTCCTGTTTTTAGTATTTCACATCGCTTTATAATGTAGCTGTTTTTGCTTTGTTTATATACATTATATATATATATATACTTTTCTTGTATTTTTTCCAATTCATATGTTTTTTATGATTACTGTTGTACTGATAAATATCTCCTGGAGGGTAAATATCTTGGTTGCAAGTATCAAACTGTGAAATCCTTCATTTTCTACAACTGAGAGTGGTTGGTCATTAATTACTATGAAGTTTAGCAACTTCTCGGTAAACATTCGAGCTCCGTGCTTCAGCGGTGTGTTCTTCTTGTTCAGTCCGGGGCAGACAGTCTGATTTCGGTCAGCCGCGCTCAGTCTGCCCGTCTCAGAGATGGGCAGACTGAGCGCGGCTGACTGAAATCAGACTGTCTGCTTCAGTCTGAACAAGAACAACACACCGCTGAAGCCACGGAGCTCGAATGTCCAACATAAAACTAACTTTACCGTGTATCCTGATGCATGCTCAACTAACTTTACCGTGGTTTAATGTGGTGCTATGTTTGATTAAGTTCTTTGTATTATAGGTCATGACGGAGCTTCCTCCTCTCGGTACAGCGGCTCTGCAGACATTGTACATTGCTGTCTTGCTTTATGGTGTTTCTAGTGTAAAATACTTCCACACAGCGGACATGTTTCAATGAAAAGTTAGTTAGCTGTTAGCCACAGTGCTGCTCGCTCACGTTGTAGCTGGCTGTAAACTATGAAATGGATTTCCTGAATGTGAGGTGGGTCTTATTACTCTGGGTTCATGAGACACGCCTCCGTTCAGGAAATCCATTCCATAGTCTAAAGCCAACATGCAGAGCAGCTGGCAGGGAATCACATGTGGAAATGTTTCAGACACAGACTTGCATCATGGAACGAAAATCTCTGCAGGTTGGATCGGAAAAAATCTGATACGTAAATTATGCTGGTATCGGACGTAGATAATGTATTGGCCCCATCCCTATTAAATACGTAACAGTAACATACACAAATACTTACAGCAATTTTCTTTTTTGAACAGTGCCTGTAACAGCTGGTTAAAAATAAAAATACAGTAGCCTACCAGGACTTCATTGATCACTATCTTCATATTCCTCCTGCTGCAAACTTGTGCTCTCCTGTTTCAGTGGTTCGACTGTGACCTGTTCAGTAATTTCTTTGGTCAGTTTTTTTTTTTATCTTTATTTATACAGCTAGTCTCACTGAGTCATGAGGACCCACCCCCCAGGAGAGATGTGTATTGGGCAGCAACGTGGGCACCCGGGTGTGACGAGGCTAAATGTTTTGGAGGCAAGAAGCTTGTTGGTCCGTCAAAAAAAAAGAAGAAGCATAAATTAGCCGCAGCACTGTATAAACTGCGAGGTTCAAAGCCTGTGAAAAAAGTAGCGGCTTATAGTCTGGAAATTACGGTAAATCTCCACAACTGTTCAAACCGTGGGATCAGGACAAAAACACTGACAGCGCTGTAGTTTTCTATGTTAGGAACTTTTATTGATTTGTATGACCGAGCCAAAGGAACAGAAATTGTTACCAAAGACAACATCCAGTTTCAACACACGGGTTAAACAGTACAGATGATTGACAGGCTTCAACAGACTCCCTCTGTAGTCTTGAAGGAAAAACTTGGAGAAATGTCCCAACACATCAGAGTTAATCCTGCAAATCTGCAGAACAAATGATCAAGAGGCGTGTCCTAAAATGAGCGGAGAGGTGGACAAGAGGAGCGCTTCGAAGAAACTACTAGTTGAGAGAGTTCATCTACATAAATAAACGGATCTCTTCAGTTCGTAACTCTGCTACACGTTACTCTGAACGTAATTTATTCCAGACCTGCTGAATATCAGACTCGTCTCATTGTTGTAACTAACTAAAGTAGTACAAAACTATGAAAAAATATATATATATCAGTGTAAGAGACTTGCTCCACAATCACAACAACACTACACAACACCCGCAGGAGTCACGATGCCGGCTCAGGAGCACACCACCGCTGGTTTCAGAGAGCTGCCAGCGACTCCGCTTTTAAATAAGCTGCTCAGGTTTAATGTGGCTATTCAACGAGGTGTAAGAAGGTACAGCTGACAGATTAGTTTCACATTACGTCACCTCTCTCTTTATTCATATATAGTTACTGGTAAGTAAAAGAACGGAGCGTTGACAACTTCCCAACAGAATACTCCTGAGCCGCAGTGATTTTTAGTTTTTATTAACTTGGCCTGCCAAGTCTCACCACTAGAGGACACACTGGTTTAAAAAAAAAAAGAAGACATTTTCACTGCAAACTTTAGGAAACAGCAAGAAATGGCCGCTGACTGAAACCCAGCATGAACAAAGTCCAGACGCCTGGAACAGGACTGAGGAGGACATGAACGTTACAAATCCACCTCATACTGTCTGACTTCTTTCAAAATGAGAAGCTCCCCAGGTTTTAAGTTTGGGATCGAATTTGTGTCTTTAATATCCATCAAGTTTGGACCAGCAGAAGACAACAGGTGTGCCATAAGAAAAGGCCTGAGTCATAGAAGAGTTTAACGAGCTTAAAGGACCTGTTCACATTTTCTCTAAAATGTGATTTTAATCCTTTATTCACAAGTTTATTTTTACTGACTGATAAAAACATTAATAATGGACTCCTAAAATTCAAGTATTTCCTGATGTTCCAGTGATTTTACTGTTATCTTTTTGTTATAGTGCATTCCTTGCAGGTTGGCAAAGAAACACCAAACTTTTTCATTTTTATAAATACAGATACTCAACGGTGTTTTGTATTACTGTCACTAAACTGGTTAAAGTAAAATATCAAAGTATTAACACTTCATTCAGCATACAGACAGAAAAGCATTAATTAGACTGCAAGTTTAATAACCAGACTTTAAGACTATCTATATCAGAAACAGCTGCAGGCTTTCTAGTAGTATTAAAACATATTTTAATTTGTATAAATAATTAAATTCTAGCAGGTTCTGATGGGTCAGAAAGTCATCAGGAGCAGTAATTACACATCCTGTAACTCAGTGGTTCCCAAAGCGTTCCCCTTACGACCCAAGAATCAAGACTTTCAGACCCAGGATACAACAACTCAGCTCGCGTCAAACATTTTCTTTTTTTTTTAAACTTGTGACTGCTGTTTTTATCTTGTCACAATAACTGCACAAATAAACAATCAACAACATATTTTTTTTACATTTAGTTTGATTCCTTGAGGTGACTTGCAGTGAGGGCCCACCCCAGCTTTGGAAACCACGGCTGCAACTCCTTTAGCGTTTGCACATAATGAAAAAATGTGAACGAGTCCTTTAAAGCCGAGCTACGCTGCAGTTAATGTGAGACCGTTCTGCATCACTGGTGACTGTTAGGTGGGAATGTGAAAAGTAATCTTTGGGTTCATGTCCAGATTTTATGGTTTATGAACATTTATACAATTAGTACGCAAGAAAGACACCCACGTTTCAAATAACTTCCATATTACTGAACTAATGGGTTAAAGCTGCATAAAATACAGGTTTTCAACGTCATTCATAAAACATTTTATTAAACTGAACTAAACAGTTTAAAGTTTAAAAAGAGGTATTAGTATTTTAATGGAAAGTGAGTGTTTGATTTCCCGTGTTTCTGCTGAAGTGAAAGCTGCAGTTAGACATCTGTCAAAGAATCAAAGTGCAGCTAAACTACAAAAAAATAAAAATATGGACTTCAGGAATTTAGAACAGGGTATTGGGATAATTTTGTTCTCTCTCACACACATACACACACACACACACACACATACACTGGGCAGTCTGAGGGGCCGCATCAAGGCCACTGTAGAGGAAAGATGTGACGACGGTGCATCGAGCCAGTTTTGAAGCTTTAACACAGGAACTCCTGTCTCATGCGGATGATCTGCAGTAAGGCCGCCTGGACGTCCGCATCCATGTGACCCTATGAGACACACAAACGTCCTTCATCATTAATATACATTTAAGGTCTCAGGAAGTTGTGCTCAGCGGAGATGTCTATTCTTACAAAAATGTACCGTAATTTCCGGACTATTGAGCGCACCTGAATATAAGCCACACCCACTTTTTTTGTGTACATATATAGGTTGCACTTGTCTATAATCCGCAGGTGTCCACGTTGTAACATGATATTTACACTTTTTATTAATTTATTTAATTCATTACGTACTGGTAACGTATACAAAACAGTAAATGTTTATTTTTTTCTGAACAGTGCCAGTAACACAGCTGGTTAAAAATAAAAACACAGTAGCCTACCTGGAAGTCTAACAAAGTTAAGTCAGGACGTCTGGACAGATTTTTCTTGTTGAATGTTTCATCTTTTATTCAAAAGACTTTGTCAGTTTGAGGAGCTGCAGTAAACTCCCCGTGCCCTCAGGGAGGGGAGGAGAGAACAAGGAGGGGGGAACTCCCCAGTGGACCAATGAAACCAAGTTTCAATGAAACCAAGTTTTATTGAAACAAGTTTCATTGGTCCACTGGGACCTGTTTGGTAATTTCATTGGTCAGATATTTTTAAGCTTTATTTAAACAGGTAGTCTCATTGAGTCAGGTGGACCCACCCCCCAAGAGAGACGTGTATTGGGCAGCTATGTGAGCGCCCGGGTGTGACGAGGCTAAATGTTTAGGTGGCATGAACCTTGTTAGCCCGTCAAAAATAAATAAATGAAAAAAAAAATCCATAAATTAGCTGCGGGGTTCAAAGTGTGTGAAAAAAGTAGTGGCTTATTGTCCAGAAATTACGGTATACAGTATTGCACAATAAGTTTTGAATACATTTATAATTTCTTTATACATCACTTCCAAGGAGTCAGACTTTTGTGTAACTTTAAAACGGTCTTGATTACCAGTTCTTTAGGCTCTCAAAGTTTTTCTTTGTACTTTTACTGCTTTTTATTTATTTTCTGACCAGTCCTCATACTTGACCATAGCAACGTATCATGCACTGTGCTTAAACAAAATAGAAAAGAAATGTGAACAAGTGGGGGGTGAAAGAAATGTCTGATTTAAAACTATTAAAACCCTTATGAAACACTGATCAAAGCCATTTTGATAGAGTGCAACAAAGTCTGGCTCATTGGAAACAAATTATAAAGAAGTGGGAGATGATTTGAGACTTTTTGCAGTGGTTTAGATTCTAGCACATTTTTGGAAATGAAACAAACTGTTAGCAGTCGATGTGTTGAGTTTAAAGATGAAAACCAAACAAAAGAGAATGAATGTGGGAACTCACCTGTGCTGCACTCAGAAGGTGAGTGCGATAAATTGAAACCACCTCTCTGTGCTGCCTCTCAGCATCCTACAGAGGAGAAAAATGGAGACATAAGAAACATTAAAGAAATATAGATGTTTTCAGAAGCAGCACAAAGAGCCGACACTGAAGGAGGCGCCGATACCTGCCATCACAGCACATTATCTACAGGTGACGGCATGTTGACAGGTTTCATGTTATTCACTTAAAAGTAGTAAATGTTTTTTCTCAAAATCAAATCAAATAAAAATCTACAGCTTCAAATTAGCAGCATTTTTAGGATCATAAACTTAGAATATTGCTGCATAAACTTTTTAAAAACACTACAAATATCAGTGCCAAGCTCATAAAATCTTTCCCATGTATCTCAGAACAATAATATGTTGGAACTGGATTGAACAGAAATGTCTGACGATGGTTGCGTTTGGACGGTACACACTCACAGCCAGCTGCTGCTGGAGGCTCTGGATCTGGGCTTGCAGAGCGTCGATTTGCTGCGTGTGCCTCTTGTTCGGTGCGTTGCTCGTGTAGGCCAGCTGGGACAGTCCGTTCAGAGCCTGCTTCAGCCGCTCCACATCTGTCAACAACTCTGTGATCTGAAACACGCGTCAACATTTAGGGAACTCGTCAACACAGTTTAAGCTTTAGTAATATGTGCATACAGGGAATGCATGATAATAACGTCACTGATAATCTGGAGAAAACGTTTCACTTCAAAAGTAAAATCAACGTTTGTACCTTCTTATCTTTGGTTTCAGTCAGCTGAGCTGATGTCTGAATCCTCTTCTGCAGATCACAGATGGTAGTGAGCGACCCGTCGTACCTCTCCTTCAGCTCCCTGATTTCCCTCTCGATGGCTCGTCCCTTCTCCTGGACGGCCTCCACCTCGGCCCTGGCCTTGCTCTCGCCCTCTCTGGCTCTCCTCGCCTCCAGACGGGCCTCTTCACACTCCTCTGCTAAGCTCTTCAGCTTGTTGCTCAGGTTGGCAGCCTCCTCCTCCAGCTGCTGCCTCTCCTGTTTCAGCTGCTTCATTTGGTCTTCCTTGTAGCGGATCTCTTCCAGGGCTTGTGTGGCTTGAAGCAGCTCTGACTGCAGGGCAGATACGTCTTCGGCCCTCTGAGCGTTGTTCTCCTCCTCCTCGCGGAGAGACATCTGAAGCTGCGTGACGTCGGCCTCCAGGGCTTCCTTGGCCTTGGCGTGTTGCTGCAGCAGGGAGGTCTGATCCCAGCGATGCTCCTGGAGCTCCTTCTGTAAGGAGCAGACTCTCTGGGCCTCCTCCTGCTGGGCCTCTCTTGCTTTCTTGCAGTCGGTCTGAGCTTGCTGCAGGGCGTCGTGGAGGGTCTTCAGCTCCGTGTCATACGTTGCTATCCGAGTCAACTCAGATTTCAGACGTTCCTGGAAGTTCTGGATCTGAGTGCTGTGCAGAGCACTCTGGTCCTGAAGTTCAGTTTTCTGAAGGGTTACCTCCTGGAGCTGCTGCTCCAAGCTGACCGACTTCTGGGTCAGAACCTCAAATTTAGAATTCAACTCTTCCTCCGCTTCATTGTGCTTCTCACTCGTGGCCAGAACAAAGTCCAGTCTCTGCTGAACAGACTTCAGATCAACCTGGAGTTTCTCCTCCTCCTGCCTGATGCTCTCCTTGGCAGCTCTTTCTGTTTTATATTTGTCTTCCACTTCCAACAGCTTCTCCGTCAGCTCCTTCACCTGGGAGCTGTAAGAGGTTTCCTTCTCCTTAGCTGCCGTCAGTGGGACAAACTTGGACTGAATGGCCTCCTGTATGGTGTCCAGTTCTTTCTTCTGAGCTTCCAGTTCTTGTGTAAGCTTTGCGATCTCCTCCTGAGCCACAGCATGCTTTGCAGTAGCATCATTTGCTCGGTTTTCTGCCTCGACTGCAGCAGCGTTCAGCTTGTCTGTGACCACTCTGTGCTGTTCAACGCTGATATACGTACTCTTCATCTCCAACATAACCTTTTCCAACTGGTCTTTCAACTTCTCCTTCCCATCTTTCACATTCTTCAGCTCCATCCCACGTTCCTTTTCCCTGGTCTCCAACTTCAACATGTCTGCTTTCACACTTTCTAAGGTGGAGCTCAGCTCCATCTTCACTTGCTCGTGCTGCTGCTTGGGAACAAACTGCTCCTTCAAGCTCTGCTCCAGACTCTGGTTCTGTGCGGTCAGATGTTCACATTCTTTGTCTCGGTCTTCAGCTCTCTTCTGCAGGAGTTCAAGTTTCTTCATCAGTTCAGCATTCTGAGTCTTCAGAGCGTCCTTCTCCCTCAGATTTGTCTCACAGGTGTCTCGGAGGTTGCGGAGGGTCTCCAGCGATGAGGCTCGCTCGGTTTGGAGCTGCTGGACCTGCGCCTCTGCTTTTCCAGAACGTTCACTGGCCTCTACGAGTTTGTCCTCGAGCTCCTCCAGAGCTGTTACCATGTTCTTTCGAATCTCCTCGTGATCTTTTGTGGGTATGAACTCAGTCGTGACCCGGTTGTTCAGCTCGTCCAGCTGCTCTCGGAGCACATCCCTGTCCTCCTCGCTCTCCTCAAGCTCCTGAATAAAAGCCTTGCTTTGGGTGGTCACATCCATCAGTGTCCTTTTTAGAGAAGTGTTCTGTTCTTCAAGAGCAGCCACAACCTTCTGATGCTCCTCAGCGGACATCGCCCCCGACCCCCCCTGGGATGACGGATTGTCTAACTTTCGGTGGAGCTCGGCCACTTCCTCCAGGACCCGGTCGTAGTCTTCCCTGAGCTCGGCGAGCTGCCGCTCCTTCTCGTCGACAGCGTTGGTCAGGAGGTTCTTCATGTTGTCAAACTTCTCAGCAGGTACTGTGTTTACGTGCTTAGTCTGGGCCTCTTTCAGCTGGGTTTCCATCTTTGAACTGGTTTCTGCGAGGCGGTTGCGTTCACCCGTCAGAGCCTCCAGCTCTTGGTTCAGCCTCTCCGTTTCTGCTGCCAGCTGGCTCTCGCTGCTCTTGTATTCCTCCAGAGCTTTCTCGCTCTGTTTGAGGCGGTTACGAACGCGGCCCACTTCGGCTGAAGCGCCTTCGTATTTGGACTTCACGTCGAGCAGCTGCGCGCGCAGTTCTTCTGCCGCCTGCCCACCCAAGTGCTCTTTTACGGCAACGACATGAGCTTGCAGCTGCTTGACTTTATACTCGGAGTCGAGCATTCTCTTCTGGACGTCTCCCAGGGCGTCCTCCAGTTCTTGAATCTGCTGGTCGGCCTGTTTCTGGATCGTGTCTCGGCTCTGAGCCACTTCCTGACACTCGCGGGTTTTACGGTTCAGCGCAGCCTGAAGCTGTGCCGTCTCCTCCTCTGCCGCTTCTTGTTTCCTCTTGACGACTTCAAGATCCCGTCGAAGCGCGTCCACTTCTGACAGATCCCAGCTGATTTGAGTCGGACTCTTGTGGTGCTGTTTGGACGCAGCCGGATTTTGGATCATCTGAAACAAAAGAGAACAGAACGATGACATCGGCACAAAGCTGAGAGTGAACACGTGGAAACACTCTGGAGAAACGCTCCTTCATCAAAATTAACGTATCTTCATAATATTTCATTTAATTATAAAATATTTGTTTTAAAGTGAATATATTTCTGTGGCATTACATGATATATACATGACTGAGTAACTTAATACACGTGAGATTTTATATTTTGATCTGAAAGGACCTAACTTTTTAAAGTTGTAGGTGTTTGCATATTAATTTTTAAAGCTTTCTGAAGTGCTTTGAACAGTTTTGATGAACTTTTGATCATTTTTTGTTTGTTTTGATCAAGTCATTTTAATTAAACTTGTGTTAGTTGTGGCTACATATAGTAGACAAGTAAATACATTTTGTTGTAAGTTTTAAATTGGCTCAGTACAGAAATTGAAATAAATAATGTTTTTGTGACAATCTGTCAAGAAAAGTTGCCAAAATATTAAAAATTGATCTTTGGTAAATCGTTTCTTATAATATGTGTAGATGCAGCATAAGTTCTTTCCTTATTTTTTGTTTCTTCCATTCGATGTAATTTAATTTGTAGCAACATTATTCAGTTATTCTACCATTGTAACATCCATCCATCCATCCATTATCTTTACCCGCTTATTCCATTTTGGGTCACGGGGGTCGCTGGTGCCCATGTCCAGCAATCACTGTGCGAGGGGCGGGGTACACCCTGGACGGGTCGCAAGTCCATCACAGGGACACATAGAGACAAACGAGACAAACAACCATTCACTCTCTCACTCACACCTAGGGACAATTTAGAGTTACCAATCAGCCTAACATGCATGTTTTTGGTCTGTGGGAGGAAACCGGAGCACCCGGAGAAAACCCACGCATGCACGGAGAGAACATGCAAACTCCACCCAGAAAGGCCCCTGGACCGGGGTTTGAACCAAGGACCTGTTCGCTGAGAGGCAGCAGCTCTACCAGTTGCGCCACCGTGCTGCCCCATTGTAACAGTTATTGTTTAATATGTTTTATTAGTTATTCTTGGATGGTCTAATTATGTTTAATTAATTTGCAAAAAAAAAAAAGTTACCTTTTCAGAATCCAGACTGTAAGCTTGTTTGACTAAAATATTTTCTTTCCCTGCAAGACAAAAAAAAAAGGATTAAAAAAAGTTGGGAAATTTAAAACAAATGAATTAAATTAAAGTAAAAGAGGCTGACCTTTGATAACAGACTGGCCTGAGTACTCCCCCTGTGAAAACATGAAGTGAACATGAATCCAAACGATTCAGGCTTTAAAACTATTTTAAATGTGAAGCAGAATGGTCTTACTGTCCTTCTATGATTAAAAATACTGTTCTGTCTCTTACATTACCTTAAAAAACACTGACTACACCAAATTACTGGCATGTTACAAGTTAAAGCTTTGGAAGCTGAACTACAAATCAAATATCCTAAAATTAAATCTTTTCCAGAAATTAGACACATTTAAAATTGCTGACCAAAGTACTGCGGAGCTGAACTTTAACGGTCTCTGGTCCTCGAGCCCCTTCCTCTTTTTCTTTGAGTAACACCTTCAACTTCTCCTTCTGTTCAATAAAAAAGGCACAAGAGAGTCAAAACCACAACAAACAAAGACATTTATGTGACAAGTATGATATGCTGGTGAAGATATGATGACAAGTATGATGTTGCATAAAAAACTTCTGAAGAGTCGAGTCGTTTTATACCTCTTTTTGTGCACCTTCCACTGCCAGCTTTTCCTGTAGTGAAAAACAAATGTTCACATTTAGTAACATGAGGCTTTGATCATGGCTCATGTACCTTGTGCCTACGTTTTATTAAAGCTACGTGGTTTTTTAATAACAGCTTGGCAGCTCTTTCTGACAAACATACTGCACTCACTGAATGCAGCGTTTCAAGTTTCAGTTTTATGTAAAAAGGAGGATCTGCCCAAACAAAAAAAAAATAGTTTCACATTTGAACCCTTTTAATCTTTAATAATTCAGCTGTACTAAAACCATCTCATTACACCTACACAGAATAGACTTTATATAACATTAGCTCATACTGCTGTTATGTTCCTTCCATCCATCCTCTTCCACTTATCTGGGGTCGGGTCATGGGGGTAGCTGCCTAAGTAGGGAGGTCCAGACCTCCCTCTCTCCAGCCACTTGGTCCAGCTCCAGGCATTCCCAGGCCAGCTGAGAAACATGGTCCCTCCAGCATGTCCTGGGTCTTCCTCTGGGTCTCCTCCTGGTGGGAAGTGTCCAGGAGGCATCCTAACCAGATGCCCGAGCCACCTCAACTGGCTCCTCTCGACGTGGAGAAGCAGTGGCTCTACTCTGAGTCTCTCTCAGATGACCGAGCTTCTCACCCTATCTCTAAGGGAGAGTCCAGACACCCTGCGGAGAAAACTCATTTTGGCCGCTTGTATCCGAGATCTCGTTCTTTCGGTCACAACCCAAAGTTCATGATCATAGATGAGGGTAGGAACGTAAATCGACCAGTAAATTGAGAGCGTCGCCATTTGACTCAGCTCTCTCTTCACCATGACGGACCGGTACAGCACCCGCTTCACTTCAGACACTGCACCTATCTGCCTATCGATCTCTTGCTCCATTTTTCCCTCATTCATGAACAAGACCCCAAGATACTTGAACTCCACCGCTTGGGGCAGGACCTCCTCCCTGACCCGGAGAAGGCACTCTACCCTTTTCCGGCTCAAGACCATGGCATCATTTTTGGAGGAACTGATCTTCATCCCGGCCGCATCACACTCGGCTGTGAACAGCTCCAGCAAAATCTGTAGATCACGACCTGATGAAGCCAATAGGACCACATCATCTGCAAAAAACAGACATCTGAAGGCCATCAAAACAGATCCCCTCAACACCTTGGCTGTGCCTAGAAATTCTGTCCATAAAAGATACGAACAGAATCTGTGACAAAGGGCAACCTTGGCAGAGTCCAACTCTCACCGGGAACGAGCTCGACTTACCAGCAATGAGGACCAAGCTCTGACACTGGTCATACAGGGACCTAACAGCCCGTATCAAAGGGCCTGGTACCCCATATTGGTACCCCCCATAGAGTTCCTCAAGGGATGCAGTCGAACGTCTTCTCCAAGTCCACAAAGCACATGTAGGGTTGGGCAAACTCCCATGCCCCCTCCAGACCCTGCTGAGAGTGTAGAGCTGGTCCAGTGTTCCACAACCAGGACAAAACCCACACTGCTCCTCCTGAATCTGAGGTTTGACTAGCTGACAGACCCTCCTCTCTAGAACCTCTGAACAGACCTTACCAGGGAGGCTTAAGAGCATGACCCCCCTGTAGTTGGAACCCATTCATGCAATATTGCAGAGTTGTGTAAGTCAACACAACCCCACAACATCCAGAGCCTTTAATATGTTTATGTTCCTCTATGTTAAAATGTCACAGTCTCTTTTTGTGTCCGTGGATCAACACACACCTGTGTGAGCTGTTGCTGCAGCGTGTTGAACTTATCCAGCAGAACTTTCTGCTCCTGGTGGTACTTCCTAATACTTCCCTGAAGGTTCTCGTTCTGCCTTTCTAGATCCTAGAAACATAATAAAATACAAACATACATAAAGTAATTTAAAATGACACCAGTTTTAGCTAACTGTCACCATAAATATTTGCTTAATGCATAGCAATGTATTAGTTGTAGCTTTGAATGTGATGAGTTTAAGGATTCACTTTATTATTCTGACCACTGCTGAGTCTCAACAAAATAAAGGACTTACGTGTATTATTTGATCTTTTCTGTTGGCCTCAGCTGCATCTGATCTCTCTATTGAAAGCTGAAAAATAAAATAAAAACCATAAAAAATGTAAAAAAAAAAATAAAAAAACTGGCAATAAAACAGTTATGAGCATTCTCAAATGTAACCACTAGATGGCAGTCATGTCTTATGGATCATCAGTAAAGGCACATTTAAAGAAAAAAGAAAATAAAAGCTGACAGAAGTGAATTAATGAGCCCAGTCCAACAAAAACAATAGTTTCAATCATGATAAATGTAACATTCAAGTTTCATTTAGTACAATAAGTAATAGACCATTTTTAAAAATATTTTATTTTACAAGGATAAACTCACTGAGATTTAAAAAATCTAATTTACAAGAGGCCAAAACTGGCAACAAAACACCAAGTTTCATGAAACAAACATTTAAACAATAAAATCACCTGTCGCTTCCAATGCTCTACCTTTGCAGCTTCTTTTTCTGTCAAACAAAAGTCCAAACATTAGATAATCAGACCGTGCTTATGATGCTTTATTCTTGTATTAAATCGTGTTCTTACCCCTGGTGGCCTTATCAAGGTAACTTTTGACGAGTGCAACGAGGTCTGGGTTCTTGCTGAGCCGAGCGTAGTGATAGGCATCGTGACCAAAGCTGTCGACGGCCTTCACATCAGCACCACTCTTCAGCAGCAGCTCAACGGCACCTTTGCAGCCAATCTCACAGCCTAAAATCAGCGTCGTCCTGAGGGAGTTGACAAAGACAGTTTCTGAGTTAGACATGTGCAAACTGGCTAAATAAATTAATCGTAATGTGTTTAACAACTGACAAATGTTTGATGCAGTGATAAACGAAGGTTGGTGATTCCTCACTGTTTTTAACATAAAGTTATTATTTTTGTTTTAGCAGCTTACAGTACAGCAAAGCGTTTTAAATTTAATTAAAATGACAGAAATTGCATTTCCTGTGAAAATGCAGTGTGAATATTTATTTAAGAACGTGATTAAAAACAGCTGAAATTGGTTAAAACATGCTGAAATGTAGCTGAAAATAAAAACGAGCCTAAAGTAGCAGAAGAAAGTAGAAAGAACACATATTTGCTGAATTAGGTTTAAATAAGCAGAAATGAGCACAAAAAATATGAAATTAGCTTAAAAAAGTTGAAATTAGCAAAAATAACTGAAAAGTAGCTGAAAAGGCAGAATCGTAAACTACCAGAATGAGGAGGAAAAAGTTGAAATGAGGTTTTTTTCAAAAGGTGGAATTAGCTGAAAAAGCAAAAATTAGCATAAAAGAGCTAAATAGTAGCTGGAATAGCAGAAACTAGCCGAACAAAGCTGAAACAAGCATAGCAAGATGAAATTAGCATAAAGAAGTTAATTAGCCTAAAAGCAGCAGAAATGACCACAAAAACTTGAATTTATCTGAAACAGCTGAAATTAGCTAAAAATGCTAAAAAGTTAGTTGAAAAGGTAGTGCAAGCTTAAATAAGCAGACGGAATCTGAAAGAACATGTTTGCCCAATTAGGCTGAAAGAAGCAGAAATGAGAACAAACAAAGGAAATCATCTGAAAAAAAAAGGCTGCAATTAGCAACAAAAAAAAAAACAGCTGAAAAGTAGCTAAAAAAAGGCAGAAAAAAACTAAAATTACAAGAAGGAAGTGGAGAGCAAATTTTTGCTGAATTAGGCTGAAAAAAGTTGAGATGAGTGCATAAAATGTGGAATTAGCTGAAAAGCTTAAATTAGCAGAAAAACAGCTAGGAGCTGAAATAGTAGAAAAAGCTGAAACTTACAGAAATAAGCTGAAAGGAGCATAACAAGCTGAAATTAGCAAACAGAAGTTAGAAGAAGCACAAAAATGAAGTTAGAAAGAATCTAAAAGGACCAGAAAACAGCTGAAATTAGCCAAGTAGCTGAAAAAAAGTTAAAATTCGCACAAGGAAGCTGAAAGAAGCTGAACCAAAACAAAATGTGAAAGGATCAGTAAAAGGTTATAAACAGATTTAAATATTTTGAAGGATGGAAAATGAGTTCAATTCATTTTCTATGAGAAAAAATGACAGAAAAGGTTAAATATTTCAAAAAGATAAGTTGCACCGATACAAAAAGTCATAGCACCCTTCTCCTGAACAAGCTGAACATTTGGATTTATGATTTGTTGAAATATCACAAAAACTGCAGGACGAGAAACACACCAAAAAACGTATGGAAAAAAATGGATCACAATAGTGTGAACGCTTCATTAGCATAAACACAATAAGTGTGAAATGGTGATGGTTACACCTTTATTGTGACAGTTTACATGAAAATGCAAATATGAACTTGATTTTTTTAAAACCTTCACTTGAAACAAATCCAGCTCATGTTTTTCACCTAAGAGCTGCAACTTTGATTTCACATGATTAAACCTGTGACGGTGTGAGTGAAGACAAACGTCCTGCGGGGTCCTTACTTGTTTTGTTTGTCTCGGACAGCGATGTCAGCCCCGCGCTCAACCAGCAGCTCACAAATGTCAGGATGACACAGCTGGGTAGCCAGTATTAGAGGGGTCCTGCCATCCTATCAAACAAAAAGTATGCACACATAAAGAAATATCAGTCTAATCCAAAGAATTATTTAATATTTGAACAAACAAGGCAAGAGGAAACAAGGGCAGAGAGCAATTCAATGAAAACAAGTTTAACATTTCGTGAGAGCCCCGCTGCTGCTATGACTGACGTTCATATGAAGTAAAGGATTCAAACTACGAGGCAACAGCACTTATTTATGCAAAGAAAAAAGTCTTGGGCTATACTGTATCAACACAATGTGTGAAATAACGAGTAAAATCAATTCTCACAAAATCACTGGCGTTCACAGAAGCCCCGCTGTCACAAAGAAGCTTCACACTGGAGGAGCAGCCTGCCATAACTGTGGGGGGGAGAAGACAAAGTGCAACAATTATCGGACCTCTTACCAGTAAAAACACACGTATGTCCATTCAACGCAGGCTATAAAAATGTGGGAAAAAAATTAAACGTCATCTAATTTCTACAATTATTTTAATACAGTAGTCCCTCGCTCTCTCGTGGTTTTTCAATGTAAGATTGTTCACGACACACGACTGTCAATTTTAATATTCATGACGTGATTGGGACAGTACAGGATAAAAAGTTAACAAGAAACCTTTGGACAGGCGCCACCATTTTGTAGTTTACTTTCAATAAGCCTACATTGTAACGCCAGTCAAAAGAACTACACTACCCAGAAGTCAACAGCGCTTTCGGCTGCTGCTTTCTGCTGAAATGGGTTTGTAAGTTCAATCATCCAGGTGGAAACTGCCGAAACGACATCATTGCTGCCAAAATGGCAGAAATGGAGGGAAAGTTTTGCAATGCAAAGTCAGAAGTATTGATCTGTCATGTTCACAGAACAGGCAGGAAAGTTGCAAATAAACTTGAAGCTTCCTGAAACTCATATATACATGCACACATCAACCTGGATGGGGCGGCGCTGCAGGGTAGATCTACCGAACCAGAACCGAGCAGCTGGTCTGCAGAGCTGGTGAGTGAAATTGTGCAGTACTGTACAGTACATATACAAATGTTGTTCAAATTACATAGGTTTAAGAGTTGAGAACATAGCAAGAGTGTAGGAAGGGTTTATAAAGCCTAATATATATAAATACTAAAATAAATATAGTGTTTCTACTTGGTGACTTCTCCACCTATCGCTGTGGTGTCTGGAACATAACTCCCACAATAATCAAGGGACTACTGTACTACACACATATTTAATGTGGCAGGCTAAATGGCTTAGGCTTTATGGGTTTATTGAGTCAATAAGGGGACTAAAGTAAAAAAACAAAAGTAAAACAAAATAGTGAAAGGACCTAAAAAATTACAGTAAATTCAGAAATGCAATTGACGGCAGACACTACGCCACAACATTCCTTGAAAGAATGAACATCTGCCATCTTTCAAGCCAGAGATTTAAACTGAAACAAACCTATTTTGAGAAATAATTTGGTCAAACCTTGAAAATTACATTGTAGTTACCTGCTGAATGATCTTGTACGATCTGTTAGTCCTCACAATATGGGTTGTGAATGACAACACACGCCGCACCAAATGTTAGCTTAATATCTGTAAAACTGACTGTTCTAATCATTTTCTGTGTTGACTAAGGTCATTTAATTGTGTTGGCCATCTTGAATCGGGTTGACGCTCAAAGTTAATCAGTTGTAGATGTACACCTAAAGATCACTCTGACAGCGTTATAAAAATCTGACCAGTGGTTAATGAGAGATGTTGCTACGAGACAGACAAATCCACATGCACACAAACAGGCTAAAACATTATTGTCAGTCTTTCCTCTTTCAGCAGCGAAGGGTAATCAGTACTAGGTGAGTACAAAAAACAGAGTACAGTCAAGAGGAGTATGGGGTTTATATGACCATAATGATGTTCATGTTAGCTGAAGGTGTCTGTTTTAAAGTAACCCAAAGTAAAAAACATCAAATTTCCACAGTAGTGAGAACTGAAGTCTAAATTAAAACAGTAAGTAGAATTGAGTCGAGCAGACCGAGGTCCAGACAGCTCTGGAGGGATTCATGTTTGAAACTGCACCAAAATGGAGTTGAGTAGTAAAGTGTCATCTCACCGGCATCGTGCAGAGCACTTCGTCCTTGTAGGTCCACATTTCCAACAGGACAGTTGTGCTACAAAACAGCAGGAACACATTTTTCTCATTTTACTGTGATGATAAGAGTAAAAAGCTGAGTATTGAGCCACATTATTACGACACAGTGCACTATACTTCAAAGTCTACGATGTCTCTATAAGACAGTTTGAGTATTCCCTCTGGGTTTGAAACACTGAACAGCTGTCACTAATAATATGATTGCATCACAGCACAGAATGTGATAATCCAGAAGTTTCTCTTATGACTCAAATACCATTAACCAATAGGGGAAAATGTTGGGTTAGAAGAGGAATCTGAGCAGTATAACAGCAGGCTGTTCATATCAGACAGAGTGGTGCTGAGCTGAAATGTTGCCGACATCTCTGCACTCTTACTCAGCTGGTTGGACACCAGCAACGGTGGTGATGAGGACCTGTAATCGAAGCCTTGAGGACTCAATGCTAACAGGGGCCTGATGTTGCTGGGTAAGTCTGCCAACCAGCTCTGCCCGCCCACTATAAAAACTCCACTCTCACCAGCAACAAGAGGCAAAAATTGTCTGCACACTCAAATGGCATTGCAGGAGGAAGGGGGGTGCTGCAAAGGGACCTAATGGTTGAGCATAAAGATGAAGGGGGTATCCTATATCAAGAGCGTTTGGGCTGACGAAGCGAGATAGTGGGGGCAGTGAGTGTTGGCATCGAGCTGCGATGACGGCACTAAGAATGGACGAGGGGTTTGTAGGAGGGCAAGCTTGTCAACACCACCGACAATCTGCTGCCAACAGCCACAACCTCCATTAGGTCATTGCCATGTGAGGTGGGGGAGGCGTGAGGAGGGCTAGAACATAATGAGAGCACAATATTGAAGCAAAAGGCCCCTCACTGTAAACATATAACTCCCCTGAGGGGCACAGTGACTCAGTAGAGCCTACTCTTAGCCGATATGGAGTGGGCTCAGCAGCCAAAGGTGTCAGGCAATAATAATTATTAAAAGAGGCTTACAGACATACCGCTCTGAAGGACTGGAACAAACAAATAAAACTATAAAGAATAATAATGAGCAGCACAAGTAAACAAGAATCTGATATAAACGGTGCACCGTACCTGCAGCAGTTTCTGCACACACAACGAATGTCCATTTCTAGCAGCCAGATGAAGAGCATTTTTACCTAAATGAAATAAACACAGCAATTTAAAATAAATTAAAAAGTGCACATGCAACAGTCTTACAGGTATAGCTAGGTTGAATAAAGGTTTGCTGCAAATACGTTACTGTATTGCAGATGTCATGACTTTATTCTAAATAAGTCAAAAGTTGGGACATAAAACAACTAATTTAGTATTCAGTACTGAAATACAGTAGTCCCTCGCTGCTTTGCGGTTCCACTTTTGCAGACTCGCTCTTTCACGGTTTTTCAACGTAAGATTGTACACGACGCACGACTGTCAACTTTAATATTACTCACGTGATTGGGACTGTATGGGATAAAAAGTTAACGGGAACAGACGGGAGGGGGAATGAACTAATAGGACAAAAAAACAAAATAAAAATACAAAAAAAAAATCTTTGGACAGGTGCAGCCATTTTGTAGGTTTTTTTTTTCAATAGGCCTACACTGTAACACAAGTCAAAAGAACTACATGGCCCAGAAGCCAACAGTGCTTCCGGTCGCAGCTTTCTGCCGAAATAACCGCAATGGAGGAAGCAAACACATGTAGACGGCGGCGAGGTTCGGCCTGGTTCTGGTTCTGGTTGCTGCGATGCTGGTCTGGACTGGGCCGAGACAGTGGATGACATCCTGGGCAGTTTCGCACGTGGAGTGTCTTTTCTGGAGCGACAGCACGTGCACATCAACCTGTATGTGGCAGTGGGCTTTGTCATACTGCAGAGTAGGTCTGCAGAACCAGAACCAAGCTGCAGCTGCTGGTCTGCAGAGCTGGTGAGTACCAATATAAAATTTTGCAGTACTGTACAGTACATATACATATGTTGTTAAAATTACGTAGGTTTGAGTTTAGAACATTGCAAGAGTGTGGGAAGGGTTTAGAAAGCCTTAAAATATATATAAATACTACAATAAATATAGCGTTCCTACTTTGCGGATTAGCACGGTGGCGCAACTGGTAGAGCTGCTGCCTCTCAGCGAGCAGGTCCTTGGTTCAGAGTCAGAGTCAGAGTCAGAGTTTCTTTATTGTCATTCGCACCTCATGTGGTACATGTGGTGGAGCGAAATTATGTACACAGGGTCCCAGTTACATCCAGTTACGTTCAAACCCCGGTCCAGGGGCCTTTCTGGGTGGAGTTTGCATGTTCTCTCCGTGCATGCATGGGTTTTCTCCGGGTACTCCGGTTTCCTCCCACAGACTAAAAACATGCATGTTAAGCTGATTGGTAACTCTAAAATGTCCCTAGGTGTGAGTGAGAGAGTGAATGTTTGTTTGTCTCGTTTGTCTCTATGTGTCCCTGTGATGGACTTGCGACCCGTCCAGGGTGTACCCCGCCCCTCGCACAGTGATTGCTGGACATGGGCACCAGCGACCCCCGTGACCCAAAATGGAATAAGCGGGTAAAGAAAATGGATGGATGGATGGATACTTTGCGGATTTTCATGTATTGTGGTGGTGTCTGGAATGTAACCCCTGTGATAATCGAGGGACCCTGTGATAATCGAGGGACTACTGTACACATATTCAGAAAACACAATATATGGGCTTTTTGTTTTCTCTCAGGGCGTTTAAAAGACATTGTAATGCTCTGATAGAAGAAATATAACATTTCTGAAATGCTTGTAGCTGGTACAGTAGATCTTACACCAATTCTTTATTCATTGATAGTTTTAAGCAAGCAGGTAAATCCTTGTGTTATTTTGTCATATTACAGTCCAGATGACAAATAGGTTTGTTGTGGCCTAAAAACTGAATAACAGTTTGAATAAAACCCACTTTTATTCAGCCTGAACTTACCAGCAGCATCACTCGCAGTGATGTCAACATTATGTCCAAGAATGAGACTGAGACAATCCAGATGTCCTCGTGCTGCTGCCAAATGAAACCTAGAAAATTAAACAAATGGGGGGGGGGGGGGGGGGAACAAACAGAACATGAGACGAATTAATATGTTAAAAAATAAAAAAGACAGCAGAGATTTATGACAGGCAAGTGAAGAAGTGATCTAGAGAGGGAATGAGACATTTTAGCACAAGAGTAGGACTAGAAATGGACACCTGGCTCCTGAGCGGTGGCAAGATCAGCATTTTTGTTAAGTTTAACAACAATAACCAACCATTCAATTCAATTCAATTCAATTCAATTCAGTTTATTTATATAGCGTCAAATCACAACAAAGTTGTCTCAGGGCACTTTACAGGAACATTCACATACATCAAAAAGCCAATTAGTAAAGTTCTCTATCTAAGGAGGCCAGCAGACAAGTTGAGTCTTGGCTTTGTTGCAGTCTCCCACCATGAGAAACAAAAGAAAGAAAACATCATCCCCTCTATAGGAGCTTCACAAAGTCCACTTCAAAGTGAGCATTTTCAAATAATAAAAGTGATGCACAATTTGTTTTTAACCTGGAAATGGTCAAAAGATGTTAAATAGGTGTGAACTATGTTCCTTCCCTATAATAATGTTCGCCATGTATTTCTTGCTATCTGCCCAGTCCATTGACCAGTTTTCAAGTCTTTAAACACCAGTTTATTTTTCATTTCTTTACATCTATTTGGTGCAACCTACGTCCACGCTGCTGTAACAACTCATGATGGTCTGCAAAGTTCTTGTGTGTAAACTAATCCCGAACTGTCACCCTTCAGGACACATGAGCCCGTTTATACACTGGCCCTGAAGTATCTGCCAAGGAGACAGCTAGGCTGTCACCTCAACACTGGTGTGGATATTAAAAGCAGTGTTGATGGCAAGGAGATGCTGGTCCTCATGGGAGCAGTGGAGGGTCGTGACCTCACAGAGACAAAAAGCAGACAGGAAGCAGACCAGAGCAAATCAAGTTAGGTGGACATAAGTGACAAGCTCATGAGCCAAAGAATGTTCCACATGACAACTAAACAAAAGCTTTCAAACTTATTCAGACTTAAACTGTGGTGGAGTTTTTTTAATGGCTGATAAACGAGGAAGGTTGAGTCAAACAACAGAGCGAAGATAAAAACTACGGACATGCTGCAGACGTATATGTTATTTTAACAATAAAATACCAGGTAAGTTCATGTGAATAGAAATGAAACTAGACTACAGAATTGTCTGCCTGCTCCTCCTGAGCAAAGGTTTGACTGTCGGCTGAATGAATCTCTGCAGCTCGTCTTTCCCAGAGTTTGTTTATGAACCTAAATTTGTTTCTGACCAAACTAAGATTTAAGTGCATGACGAGATGAGCGACCTAACGAGCTTCAGGCTGTTGTAACAAGCTGAGATTAAATCCAGGAAACCAATAGTTTTGTCTTAAAGAGAGAAAAGATTCTGTTTCTTCTTCACCAAAGCTTCGGCAACCTTCATGTTGACTGTCTACAGGATCTGGCTGCTATTTTTAAAGGAGTGGAGGAGCAAACGTAAACCATACGGTACTGTACGCTAGTAGCTGAGCCACATATGATGGAGGCACGTTTCTTTTGAATGATACCACTGTAAAACAGTGTTTACAATACTTGAAGATTTTCTTTGCTTAAAAGCTTGTTTATTTTGTTGCTGCCTCACAGCTCAACTTGTACTGCTCGGCCCAGTTTTACCTTTCACATCTAAACTGGTTTAGTCAATATAAAGAGTACAGATCTGAGGACTTCTGTCAGCTGCACAAAACCCATTCCTGCCAAGTCTGAATACCAATGGGAGCACAGCTGTACCTTTTCTCAATACTTTTTCATGATGTCACATGGTCTGGCTGCCATGTTGGACGACAAGCTCCAGTGGATGAACACAAACAGTGATTGGTGTTCATTCAGTCATAATGGTCAACATTTTCTGCTCAAACAGGACTGGCAGAGATTTGTTAAAATTCATAATTTGTACTGCAAATGTGACTAAATAATTTTTTCCCTTTCTTCTTCTTTCGGCTGCTCTTCTTCAGGGGTCGTCACAGCGAACTAACTCGCACAAAGACTTGGTGATTGTTTGAACGCCAGATTTCCTTCCTGACACAACCACAGACCACCGAGCTACCACAGCCCTCTGTGTGGAGCAGAGAGCTACCATCAAGAGCACCCGGGGAGCAGATGCTGGGGGTTAAGGACCTTGCTCAGGGGGGCACAAGGTGGGGTAGGTGAGGGTGGAGGCAGGTGTGGGTGTTTCACCTTTCTCACCCACATTTTGATGTTGTCGGTTCGAGGAGTTGAACCGGCGACCTTCTGATCACAGGCCCACCTCTCTTGACCTCTGTGCCACCACTCTCCACATGACTAAAGAACAAACTTACAAACTGGGCACATGGTGAAGGCACTAGTTTCTGACAAACCTTGGTCTGGAGGACCTTTCCAGTCTCAATCAGAACAGAATTTTCTCAGATCACTTTGTTGGAGGTTCGTTCACCTGTGCACGTTCTTTGACTGTGCGAGCTGAACTTTGAGCTCATACTTGTCACTTGTAAATTTAATTGTAAATTACATAATAACACTCATTACTTATACTGTCTTTTAATGAGAATGTTGTGTAGTGTATTATGAAAAAGATGGAAATTATCAGTGGTGTGCTTGATCCTGTAAAAGTTACCCTAGCTGTCACCATGGTAACCATTCTTCACTATGACGCCTGCACCCCACCAGAGATTAACCATTAGTATGCATTCATGAATGGGCTTAAGTTGAAAACCAGATAATTTACAAAATCAGAAGAGAAAACTGGGGCAGCACGGTGGCGCAACTGGTAGAGCTGCTGCCTCTCAGCGAGCAGGTCCCTGGTTCAAACCCCGGTCCAGGGGCCTTTCTGGGTGGAGTTTGCATGTTCTCTCCGTGCATGCGTGGGTTTTCTCCGGGTACTCCGGTTTCCTCCCACAGACCAAAAACATGCATGTTAGGCTGATTGGTAACTCTAAATTGTCCCTAGGTGTGAGTGAGAGAGTGAATGATTGTTTGTCTCGTTTGTCTCTATGTGTCCCTGTGATGGACTTGCGACCCGTCCAGGGTGTACCCCGCCCCTCGCACAGTGATTGCTGGACATGGGCACCAGCGACCCCCGTGATCCAAAATGGAATAAGCGGGTAAAGATAATGGATGGATGGATGGAGAAGAGAAAACTCACAGCAGTTGATTTGTAACACTTGGTCATTTCTCACACACGTGCAGGAAATGACAAAACGGAAGGGGCCAAAGTAGTTCACCAACTTTAATTTTTGCCAATATTGTTGCTTATCAGCTAGCTTAAGCAACAGCGGAATTTGACTTGTGCGTTGTACCACTTCTGTGTTTGTGGCCATCCAAATGAATGAATGCTGCACATGAAAGTCACCAACAGTCCGAGTCATTGATCTGTTAAAGTGCTTTGTCTTCCTAAAAGCAGCTAAATTTCCTATTTGCACTTATTGAGAAAGCAGTCTAATCGACTGCCCAACTGCGCTATCATTCAACTTTTTTTGTGATTTGACCCTTGGATACAACTGCACACAGCGTACAAGAGTTATGGGTGGGCTTACCCCACTAATGCCACAGTGGAGATGTAAACTGTTTACTCAGCTGGAGCAGAGATGGAGCAGTTAGAGCTGAATTCATTAAATGAACACACTGAGGCTAATCCAGGGCACACTAGATGGTATGTAGGGGTAAACAGTTTGTAATTAGTTTCCCAACAGAGGTTCATGATTACAAGGAATCGCCATTCAACATTCCCTTGTTGGCCTTTGCGAAGGCCAGAATGCCACAGACGCATGTGGTCTGTGTGTGGCCCACTGAACTATAAACAGACGGTCAGAGATGATATTATGGTTGATGTTTTGGCAAATGTATGACCTCTTGTCCTAAATATTGAGTTACTGTAAGATGATTTTAAAGCAGAGAAGTTCAGGTCAGTCTAAACATGAAATGATGAGCATGACTGTTTGGATTTAGATCTAAAAAATTCCAGCACCTTATTATTGCAGCAGGTAATGGTACAAAGACCTTGTCAAAAAAATAAATAAATAAAAAGAATACATGAAACAGCCAAATGATGTCAGAGATTTTGATACTAAACTGAGCTTGTGTTCCTGAACTTGTGATGTAATCTAGTTACATTGAAGAGGAAAAGTAAAGACCCATCTTTTTAACCAGCTCATTCATTGTTGTTCAATGCTGACCCATAACCACAAGTCAAGCTCTGTATGACACACATGCAATATTAAATCCAGATGTTAGAAACATAAAAACAAACCTTAAAAACATCAAGTTCCCTTTGAAAGCTTCAACCATACAAAACATGGTTCACTGAGAAGTCAGCTGATTCTGATCTGAAAATGGTCTTACCAAAAATAATGGATTACTTTTGTTGGGAACCTCAAGGAGGATCTCATCTGAATGTGAAGGGAATCATTCCCTGCTGGGACTACATAAACAAGCCCTGACCAGTGTGGTTATGCTTTCAGTGGCCACAAATATTCTTTCTACCAACTCCCACATTGACCTCAAGTCCGTTGGACAGGAAAGGGGAATTTATTAGACAAAAATGGAGACATTAAAACATGATTCTGCAATGTCTGTCATTCAAAGGGGAGCTGAATGAGGTTATGTTAATTTATATAAATGTATATTTATATATATATTTAAGTAGAGAAACTTGACATTGATAAAACGAAGTGAAAAGATAAATCAACCAACTCCTCTTTTACTCCATATCTCTGCATATAGAAGTGTGTTTTTGTTTACTCACGCAGAACGTCCTTCGACGTCAAGCTTGGTGGGAATGATGCCTTTCTTGTTGAGAACAGCAGCAACTTTGTCCGCTTCTCGACGCTCCACTGCCTTCATCAGCCGGTCATCATACTTGTTCCAGTCCGTGTTCTGACAATGAAAAAAAAAAACTATCAGACAATCAGATTGATAAACAGTTTTCCCCAAACCAACCGATTAAAGGAATAATGACACGAGTGCGTATCGAGTTAAACCCACCGAGACCTGATTCGGCATGTAAGAATACCTGCTCCCATATATGGAAACTGCCTTAGGTCTCCACAGGTAAAGAGTAGTGATCATTTGGTTTGCACTTTTTCTTAACCATATCACCAACATGTAAGTCAGAAAGACTCTTTGACAAGAAACAACAAAATGGCAGTGATGTTTGTTTTATTTAATACTTGTTATATTTTCTACATCCATATAGGATCAGAATTCAAGTTTAAGAAGATGTCAAGAATGTGTTGTACTACGGTCCCCTTAACTTCCCCCCCCCCCCCCCCAAACACACGAGGGACAACAAAACATGGGAACAGAGTACTCCTCTGCAAAACGTGAGAGCAGTGCTTACAATACAGCAAGGGCTAACACACACAAGCTTAACTGAGAATCACGAGCTACATTTATACTGAAACTGATCTAATCACATCATTTTATACTTTTCACTGTCAACAAAATCACAAACTCAGAGATACAAAGTCGATACATACAAAGTGCATGGAGGTGCATTTCAGCCAGCGGCTCATCTTGGGTGAGTGGAGCTGGTCCTTGCACCGTGCTACTGAAAACGTTGCCACTGTTCCGGTTTACAAAGACAAAAATGAAGAAAATCAAAAAGGAAATATAAAAAAAAAACTTTAGCTTCTCAGTGCACTCAACCAGTGAGTGCAACAAAAAAATGCTGAGAAGTGGGTGGAAGTCAAAGCCGCAGTGGAGGTCCTTATCCTGAAGGCTCAACCACAAGTCTCCCTCGCTGGCGGCAGAAAAATATACTTGTCAGGTTTGTATTGGCATTCTCTTGTCGCTCATGAGCTGTACTTGCATTTCCATCACTGCACAGCAGTTTGGTTGATGGTTTAAGGAGAGGAGGAGGAAAAGAGGAGAACGGAATGGAGGTGGAGAAGCAGTAGGGCCAGCCCCGCCAGCACCGGGACCTGCCCTGGCCGGCAACTGCAACTCCTCCTCTGGTGGAAAAGTCAGCTCAGTCTGGCTCCTCTCACCTCCAACAGGAGCTCTTCCCTTGGGCTAAAACCTGCTAATTTAGTCTGTGTGTTTGAGTCTCTTCTGCTCGATTTCTGGTGCACTTTCTGTCTTAAAAAAAGCTGCAGTAGCTTATGAAGAGATAACTAAAGATTTCCTCTCGTGTCTCTCCTCTCTGCTGTTAGTGATCTCCAGCCTCTTTGCACCACCAAATGGCAAGGTCAGTCGAGCTCAGTGGGGTAAATATGTAAGCTCTCGCCGGTTTAAAATATCACCCCTTCCCTGGTAAACAGCAGCAGTGCAGACAGCCCTGCAGACTGGTTACCTCTTTATTTTTTGACCCTCCAACCTTTCTGCAGTGACTGATAGGAAGACGGGGGCTAAGAATACATTCTGGACATGCCAGTCCAATGAGTAATGGCTTTAGTGTCTTTCAGCACTGCCAGCATAAAACAAGGCCAGCCAAAAAAACCTAGCTTACATTGCCCCCCCACCATGCTCTCTGCTCACCTCTAAGTGAAAATATTAATGTCAGGGGGGATTATTTGAAGTGTTGTTAGCACAGACTCTCAAAGGACTCTACAGATCCATAACCTATTGCTAACCCATCTGTCTACAGAGGGTGGTGTGGCTCCAAAGCTCCCAGACCCTTGCTGTGCAGTAGCCAAGTCAGAGAGCAGCCATTAAACCTTTAAATGCCTGAAGCTTCAGCAGAACTTTCACTTTTTATTATGAGGCAAATATGCACAGAGACAGCAAACCAAGAAAGGAGAAGGTATGGAGAGCTAGTTTAATTTACACACAGCATCGGCTCCTTGTGGGCTCTGGTTACGGCCTGCTGCCAGACTGGCGTTTACAGAGCAACAGTGATATTCACAAACATGCAAAAAGACCTCTTTCACATGACATGTCATTTAAAGAAGTAGGTGTCAACTTACGAAAGCTGCTCACCCTTGCATAGAGACAAAGACGCCAAAATGGCATTTAGCCATCACATACGTTGGTCACGTAAATATCTCACATGGATTTGCTTGGGAATCTGTTCATGTACTAGTTAATAATAGAGCTGTTTGCAAGCAGAAGTACTCAAAAGAAAAGCTTCTTCATTCTAACATACTCAAAATGCTACCTTTAAAAAAAAGTCCATGTGAAAAGGTGACATTTATTGTGAATGCGTTGTAATTTGACAGTATATGTGGATGGTTACTGACTGAAGTTATATAGTTGTCAGAAACACAAGGTGTATGAGACTGTGGTCAGTGGAACTGACCATTTTCTTACTTGGCCTAGAAGAAATATAGAATAAAACTTCAATACAAATATCTGGTATTAGGTTGGTCTACATGTACACCAGTGTACAAACACTGTAATATCTCGTCTGAACAAATCTGACTCATTAAGAGACAATCATTCTCAATTTTCTAATTCCTCCTTCACATGAGGTCTGCAACAGACTTTTTATTGGTGTGTAATCACACCAGTCTGTATCACAGATTGATACGCGTAATCACACGTGTAATCTGTTGAAGCTTACAGCTTTGGCACTTCAGTTTTGAATGTAGAAAAAATATTGTGTGGCAAATTTTCTCTAAAGTCACAGAATTGTTGGATCTCAAACCCACCTATCTTAAGTTAGTTTCCATAAATTATAGTCCCAAATGTTCAAGAATAAAAGCCATGTCAAGGATCATTATTTTTTAATAGTCCAAATCTGCTTATGTTCATCTTAAAATAGTACCCAGAAGATTATATCATGACATAGGGGTACCTGCTAAGGTGGGCACAAAGTGGGCCGAGGCAGATATGATGTGGGTGGAAGTGGACAATAAAACATTAGGCAAAACATTGAATCCGGTTTTGCAAGCCGTGCACACAAAAATAGGTCATTTTCAAAAATTGGTAGGGTAAATTGTGGTTGCACAGCTCGCTGGTCACGTATTCACAAAACACCAAGTTCAGTGTGATAGCAAATAGAATTGATGGTTTTCTAACACTTTGAATTGCCAACTAGTTTCCCATTACTCACAGCCTTGTCAGATAGTACTCAAGGTCATAATACGTTTTTTTTGTTTGTTTTGTTTTTTGTAGCCCTGTAGCTATGGTATCGGTCATTCCTCATCTTGATGATGTATGCTCAATACTCAGTAATGTATTAAATAGTAAATCTGAACATTATTTTCAATTTACCGGTAGTCCTTGAGTCTTGGTACTCTAATGAAACGGATGATATTTTTGTACAGTAAATTTCCTTACAAACATTCTAAATAAAAAAAAATTTCAGATTTGTGAAATTATGTAATAACACGTATATATTGAGTCTCTGAAACCAACAATATCCAGTCTTTGTATTCAAGAGAAACAACAACATTACCTACAGTTTCTATTTTAACACAGAGACCTCAGGGATGCAACATCACCCAACACTGAACAAAGTAGATCCGGCTGCTACCTGTCTGCACTGATTTGTCTCTGTGCCTGTTAATGCTTCACTTAGAGCATCTTGTCAGCTTCACATCAGATTTGTCCTCACTTTACAGGCTGTACTCTTTTCCCATCACCTTCTTTCAGCTCCTAGCTACGCTAATGGTACCTAATATTCTCCCCGATGAAATCACCAGCAAAAAATATCCAACTTGTCATAACAACAGACCAAAGCCAAAACCAGAACATAAAGCTACACGCCAGTATGTTAGGTGATAGTTGTGTTCAGCAAACTCCAGCAGACATGGTTTCAAATTATGACTACTGGGATGATGGCGATCAGAGGAGGCATCTGTGAAAAGACATTAAGTTATAAAATTTAAACCTTTGACATTCATGAGCTACATGCTGTATTAGGAAGTCAAGTCAAAAATAAGATACAAAAAGAAATTATGGTAAAAAAAAAAACAGGTAATTTAATTCACATGAGACGCAAAGGTGATTCATATCGATGTTACTAAAGAGTAAAGGTTATTTTTGGCATACAACTGATCTAAAAATTAATTTAAAACTAATAAGACTTCAATACAGAGATGTTCTAAATTTTTGTTTTAGACCCAATTGAACTCTAAATTATCCAAGCACATTACAGTACACACATGTACAATAGCTGTATAAAGAAAGCTTTTTATATAAAGTATCCTTTATCATTTTCAGTTTGGCCATTATGGCAATACCCATTTTACACTTCTTGTGCAGACTACCCTTCTGTTAAAATTAGGGATGCACAATATAATCGACATGGTATCGGCCGATATTAGCGTTAAAAAGTTTAATATCGGACATCGGCCAATTCAATAAAAAAAATTAACCGATATAAAAGACGCTGTTTTTTCCTGCAGCGGCAGCACAACGCGATGACGTCACGTGCACCTACCTGATCTCACAGTGGAGAGGAAAATTCAAAATGTCGGCGGTGTGGAAGTTTTATTTTTCGTTGGTGAGGATGTTGGATTCTGAAGATTTATGGACTAAGTTGAGCCTCGCTACATCGTCCGCAGTCTGAAATATTTTTCCGATGTAACTTTATCCGAGTTACAAGCCGTCATTTCTGACGTCATTGAGAAGCTAATAGCTGACAGCACGACTTGTTGGGTGAGTTTTACCACAGACATCTGGACGTTGTGTTAGTCCCGTTAGCATGATTAGTGTTACAGCACAATGGATAGACAAAAACTTTGAACTTAAAAAGTCTGTCCTTCATGCACAAGAGTGCAGAGGATCCCACACTGCAGCTAGGAACCTGGAACAAACCTCCACAAGTGAGACAGCATCGCAGGTGGCTAATGCTAATAAATAACATTCAACAGTTTTCATTTAATATAAGTTAAAGTGCTATGCATATCATATGGCTGTTACTGAATATGTTGCCAGCTTTTACAGCTGTTGCACATTTTTTGTAGCAAATAAGCCTTAATAAGAGGGTT